TGCAAGTGTGGTTTGAAAGAGGCGAATATCCTTAATCAACAGCCAAATGGAAGGACTCCTTGGAAATCTTCTAAAATGAAGAGAAAAATTCGATGATTAATGGAATTAAGAAATCCTTGTTCTTTTCTTTTTCATTTGGTTTTTATAAATTAAAATCTAAGTGTTGTGAAAGATTTATGCATTCGTTTTATATATTAGGCTTTTTCCTAGTATATTTCGGCAACTTCATTGGTTATCATATTGAAGGAATTCTTGCTTTTTCTTCACAAATTTCCCTCTGTTTTCAGTCTGTACTAGTCATTAATTATAAGGAGAGAACTTGGCGACAAATAAGAACTAGTTGATGACAAATTTTTAAACTAATTTAGCTTCTGATAATGTATAGCTGTATACTATTGGTGTTGATGCCGCTGGAACTGTTTTTGTTGATTATGAAATTCCAATAGATTTTTTAGGAAGAGCAGGTGAGAAGTAGGGATGGTTAGAAAAAAGACCCGATACTTGTCGGCTTCTACAAGTAAAATATGAATATGGACAGCAGTTGCGTTTTTTTAACACAGTTAATTGTAACTGAGGGCTTGCCGGCAGCCTTTGTGTTTTTCTTTCTTGTCTGTTTTGTAGGTCGAGGAGTTGTTTTTTTGTGAATTGGTTATATTTCAAAAGATTTGGTTATATAAAACCGTTGAATAGATTTCTTTGGTTACTGGAATGAGAGGTGCCTAATGCGTAGTAAAGGCCTAAGACCAAACTTTGCTCAGTTGCTCGATGATAAAACTCTGTGTTCAACTTGATTTTTTTACTCGTTTTTCGCATTTCTTTTCTCCATGCTATTGGCTTTCTATTTATCTTATTTAAACTAACTAACCAGTTGCTGATTTTGCAGTTTTACCAAAGTTCCACTCAACTTTGTTCATTGAGAGTTGCTTTGTTTATGGTGCTACCGCAAAGAGTAATGAATTGCAATTATTGGGGATACGGGGAGGAATAAAAAAATGAATTAATGAATGGATAAGATAAGTGGTTTTTGTAGTTATTGTTTTTATGCGAACGGATGAACCCCTAAGAGGATGCATAACATTATAATTTACGCCTAAATATAAAAAAAGAAAGACATAATTAGAGGTGACAGTAAATAATGTTACACAAATCGGTGTAATCTTCGAATTTCATGGTCGGTGTGTTGTGGACGAAATGAATAGTGAGTGAAGGGACTAAATGAGGAAAACTTTGTGCATTGTAAAATTTATTGACGAGGTCAGTAGCGGAAAGGAATTTTTTCTTATCGTCATTGATGTTAGGTTCAGTCGACGGGTTACACATCTTTCAATGTTTGTTCCGTGTTGTGGGTGATATTTGGTCGAAGCACATTGTCTTAACATTCAATTGTTATTGGGTTTTGTTGATGCTATGCACAAACATATATATCTTCGATTCTTCCCTTCAAATTTTTTCAAACATACTGGTACATTGTCGAGGCAAAAAAAGAAATTACTTTTTGTAATAAAGGTTTGGCTTCGTCATTTTGGTTAACAAACAACTGAAGCGTAATTATGCAGTTTAGTGAAATTTGGGAAATGCAAAAATATAATAAAGTTTGGTAGAGAAAACTTTTCAATAAAGACTGAGTTTAGGTTGTTTTAGGTGTTCTTTGGGTAAACTTCTCTTCGTATCATCATAAAGCCGAAATGTTTAGATTTTTTCTGTTATTTTCTGACAGTTCTACTTTTTTACGTAGTTGGAGTTGGAAAATGATCTATTATGTTTTGAGGCATCAATACTGTCTTTTGTATAGGTTGAAGATTAAAACTGGCTGGGAGGAAGAATAATCAGGTTAAATTTGCCCAGATCATACGACATTCGGCTGTTAAGAATATTGTATTCTGATCTTTCAGTGGCGCACAGCACTGATGCCAGAATCCATTAATAGTTATAATCGAAGTTATGTTTTATATGGTAGTTATACATTAATGGAACAATAAATGATTTTTTTTTTT